CAGAGACCGTTGCCGCAGAATGACCACTTCATGTCAAATGGTTAGAGACGGCTCTACTTGTAACCTTGCAACGATCAGGTTAAGATCTTCTAGTTGGGGTATTGCAACAGGATGGTGCCGTAATTTTCCTCACTATAACGATAATTACGAAAAAAAGAGGTTGAAAATAGCATAGAATCAGCCAATAATGTCTCTTTATCTCTTCGCATGCCCAGAGTTCGCGCCGGAGCGGACACTGTGGAAACAGTTAAAAACGTCAAGCACTCAATGTATGCGTGCATTCTGCCATTCTCTTTGAAATATCTGGCAACAGTGGAGATTCAAAAAATATTGCGTGACATATACAGTTATCAAGAATAAGGTACAGTGTTGCTACATGGTTGAGGCGGAGCGTAACGGCCACATACCCATGCTCCTTTGGCCTAGACTCAGCTATCACCTGAGGACTATTAGGGAGCGTCACGACCCATCATCCCCGCAACAAAGTGCTCAATCGATTAGGTCGCATTTATACTTTGCGCCGGAAGGAACGTGCAGTCACTGCGGGCGCTACGGTGAGTACTATCACTGTAGGGAGTGAGAAGGGGGTATACAAGATGATGGCGCATGGTGCGCATTTAGCACTCAGTTGATCCCCTTGTGCAAACGCACATTTGCACATTGAAGAGGCACCAATTGCCTGTGAAAAGCTTATCATGCGCCAACATCTGATACTGACGCTTTTCACTGTTTCCACAGTGTCCGCTCCGGCGCGAACTCTGGGCATGCGAAGAGATATAAGAGACATTATTGGCTGATTCTATGCTATTTTCAACCTCTTTTTTCGTAATTATCGTTATAGTGAGGAAAATTACGGCACCATCCTGTTGCAATACCCCAACTAGAAGATCTTAACCTGATCGTTGCAAGGTTACAAGTAGAGCCGTCTCTAACCATTTGACATGAAGTGGTCAGTCTGCGGCAACGGTCTCTGTCTGCAAAATCAGTTGTTCTGAAATTTTTATAAGCACCCTATTAAATAATTGTTCCTACTATCTTCACGACTGTCACCACGGCTCTCACTGCTCTCACTGCTCTCTTCCCACCAGGCGTTGTACCATGGGTATGGGTTGTACCAGATCTAAACAATACTTTTAATAGTGGTGTTTCTCTGATCTGATTCCAAGGAGAGATTTCCTAGATTATGAAAAAAGAAGTGCAAGTCTAGGTAATAGAATTGCTTACTGGCACTGGGTATTGATATGCAGGAGCCTGATACGACGGGGCCTTATAAGAAGGAGCCGAATAAGAATTTCTGTTGTAAGAAGGATACTTCTGTACGTAGCCAAAGCTCACGGCTAGGAAAGCTAGGGCGGCCAAACGGAACATGCTGTAAATAGGCTAGAAAAGAACGACACTTAAAGCTGGTATAGAAAAAGAAACACCTGCTTTCTGACTGCTCCGGAGAAGCCCGACCTTTTTATAGGGCTTTTTCCGTAACAAAAATGCACGTTAATCAATCAGTTCAATAACAATTTTAATTAGTGAAGAATTTAGGCGTTAATCATCACATTTCCATGGAAAAATGTTGTGAAGTGATTAATTGTAACCTTATTAAAATTATTTCCGCTTCGCAAGGAAACGACATGCAGCCTCGGAATTTCGAGCGTTTGTGGACGACTGAGTGTTCATTTCGCCTCAAAGAAAATGATCGGATTCTTTGGTTCACACGCATCACAACATAAGGCAACATACCCGCTGCATCACTTCCCCCATATTTCTCGCCTCCTCCCACTGAAGAGAGTAACATTGAAAATTGGGATTAGTAAAGCTACTGATACAGTAAACCATGGCTGCCTCAGAACCCTCACACTTCTAGAGCCAGGATATAGAGAGATCTAGATAAGTTCAAAAGCGAGAACTTCATCGGAATTGGCCAAGACCAACTGTGATATCAGCAGCGAAGACTG